CTGATATTCCTAAAAGAACCTCTGACTGACGCTAAAGCATGTCAACTCCTAGACTTAATTAAGAGATAAAATGTCACAATTTTCATGAATCTGAAAGATTACCAAATTTTCAGGTGGAAAATTTGTTCTAGAACCACAGAAACTTATCAGTGAACAGAAGAACTTCCTTTTTATCTTATTCGATTTTTGAATTATACTTCTATAAAGAATTCTCTTATCCTTCTGCAGCAACCTAAAAGGTAATTTTCAGTATCTCAACAGTTATTGACAGCTACTTCTCACAGCATTAATACTATAAAATTAAATTTCTAAGTAGAAGATTCAAGTACCATAAACATAGAAGAGGGTAACCAAGCATAATCTATAAATAGTTCTTATGAGATTCCAGATTACCTGCCTGGCATAAATCTCTCCTTAATATACCTAAAACATCCTCCCGCTCAAAGATGTACATACTCATTGTTCTAAAAGATAGCTCACATTAAATTCATTAAGCAGCATCCCTTCTAAAGGAATGAATATTGCTTAATGGTTTGGGTAGATGGAATTACATTTTGGAACATGATTTGAGAACTTGATTCATGGAAATTTTGGTCTTCGTTAGTGAAACCTGGAATATTGGAGACTTCTGATAGAGATTCCAGGAGTACCCCTGACCGCATGCTGGAATATACATGCGCATCATCTTTTAGTATCTGTTAACTAAAGTTTGAAACTTATGAGATTCATTCCAACCAGCAAAAAGTAAAGTTCCATTATCATCTTTACTCTTTTCCCCACACATAAGAGCTATAGGAAATATAGGAGAGAAAAAGCTGTTATCTTTTCCTTACCCATTGCCAGGTTCATGGCTCAGACCCCTGCAACACAATACAGATTAACAAGAGAAAAGCCTAACAAATGTATTTAATATCAGTTTTATGTGCCATGGGAGCCTTCTGAAATAAAGACTCAAAGAAACAGGAGACAAAACTGCGTATTTTTATGGACAGTTATGCAGAAGGATGATTGGAAGATAAAAGAGTATGACTTGATGATAATGAATTGGGGAAAACTTGACAAGGCCCATGTGTTCAGATTCTTCTTGGCACGTGAGCATAGGGCAGAATTCCTCTGGAATGAGGGCCTTATGACCTATTTGCAGGGGAAGTATGTCAGAGAATTCTTTTATGGTGCACTTGAGGGAAGACAAATGGAAGAAGGTCAGAGAGTGATTTTCCTGCTTCTGTACTTTTCTCAGTTTCCTTCACCTTAAAATACTCAGTATGCAGAGCTAGCATATTTGGGGGTAGCGTGCCCTGAAACCTATCATAACCAATGATTAAAATCCAAGTCCTCACAAAGCTTACTGTCTCAAAGAACTAGAGAAAAGACAGAGGTACAGGTGCATAACCAAACAAAAGACAATGAAGAATGCCTTGAGAGAAATCAAATCATACACTAGGTTGGAGAATATGGGCTTTAGGAGAGCTACTTCAGAAGAAGGGCCAGGGAGGCTGTCTGGATCTGTACGGTTGAAGATGAAAGAAAAAGATTATTTCTCAAGCCTGCAGGACATCAAATTGCTGTAATAATCACCTTGTGGATGGCAGGGTTCTACTACTTTTAAACACAAAAAGGGGAGTTAATAATCAATTGTGAAATAAGAGGTCACTTTTTTACTTCGATATTTCCCTTTCCTGACTACAAGTGCCTTACTGACTAAACGCGGCCACTCTTGTTCTTTGCAGAGCAGAATTTAAAGCCCCTGAAACAAAAAACCCTACAGTGGTATCATGTTCAAGAGGCTAACTCAGTGGTGCACCTTCATTAACAATAACAACAGTTGCTTCAGGGGAAAAGACCATTACTGGGCTTATTGCTATTACCACTCAGCATGAGACAAAAATGGTTGAGGACCCAGGGATCAGGCAGAATATCAAGAATGAGACACAGAGGCAAAGATGAAGAGAAACAGTCACTGTGCTTTCCATGGCAGGTTGTCAAATGCTGCCTTAAAATGTGCAACTGTGAATTTCAAAATATGAAATGCTCAGAGTCTTGAAGTGCAGTTTTTACAACCGGACAGCGGAATATTAAAGATGCTGCTTTGTCCCCTAGAGGGGCTGGCTACTGCAAGACCAGCTGCCAGGGGTCATAACTATGTGGCCATTGCCACTTACTATTTTATCATCATATGATACTGAGGCTGGTAAATATCTCTCATGGGATGTGCTTGTTAATAATGAAGATTCCCAGTCCCCAACCACAATATTCTAAATAAGGAGATTTAGAATAAGAACTGAGAATCAACTTTTTGTTGTTGCTAACTGATATCAAAATTAATTTTCATGCAGGTGATAGAAAGATCACATTTTGAAAAACAGATGTGACAACTCTAGATACGGATACTTCATCTAAAAGGACAGTTTTGGAACCTTCATTGTTCACTGGGATTTTATATGTGTGTGTGTGTGTGTGTGTGTGTGTGTGTGTGTGTGTGTGTGTATGGTGGTTTTTCTTTTAACCACCATATTCTACAAATGATTCTAGACAGCCCCATTCATTCACATCAGGGGACTTCTGTGATCAGGTTGGAAACAATTGAAAGACGTGCAAGACAACATAATCTGCTGATTTGAAAAACAGAATTGTTTTTAAAAAATCAACATAAGCTAAATAATCATGGTGGTGATAATAACCACATTCAACAATTCATATGTAAGTACGATATGTTAAGAATTAGTCCAGCATCATCACCATCAAAGCTAACAAAAACATTGCAAATTTTGGCCAGATAATTGGGACCTCAAAAAATAATGACTACTGGAGTTACACAGTCTATAGCCATGGTTATCAGCCCCGCTACACTTAATGCTTGTTTGTTTTTTTTGTGTGTGCTGATTATTTTTAGTCAAGAGATAATTCAAATATCATAAAATTCACCCTTTCTTTTGAGACAGAGTCTCACTCGGTCACCAGGCTGGAGTGCAATGGTGCAATCATTCAAATATCATAAAATTCACCCTTTCTTCTGAGACTCTGTCACCAGGCTGGAGTGCAATGGTGCAATCTCAGCTTGGTGCAACCTCCGCCTCCTGGGTTGAAGCGATTCTCCTGCCTCAGCCTCCTGAGTAGCTGGGACTACAGGCACGTGCCACAACGCTCAGCTAATTTTTTGTATTTTTAGTAGAGATGGGGTTTCACTGTGTTAGCCAGGATGGTCTCGATCTCCTGACCTCGTGATCTGTCTGCCTTGGCCTCCCAAAGTACTGGGATTACAGATGTAAGCCACCGCACCCAGCCCCAATTCACCCTTTTTAAGTGTACAATTCAGTGATTTTATTATATTCACAATGTTGCACAAACATCACCACTAAGCCCACAACATATTCATTACTCTAAAAGAAACTTGTACCCATTAGGAATCATTCCCCATTCCCTCCTTGTCCCAGTCCCTGTCCCTGGCAACCAATAATCTACTTTCTACTTGTATTCAGAACCTGCTGTACAGCAAATATTTTCCATCCCCCTTTAGACTGGCTAAATGAAATTCTGAGATCATATAACCTACCTATTGATGTAAGTTTTAGCTATGCTTATTATGTACCTATTAGCATTCTGTGCATTCCACTTAATACAGTTTGTGCACTCTCCCATGTCACTAGCTATGCCTCTACAGTATCACTTTCAATGGCTGAAGGAATTCCATCAAATAGATATTGCATAGTGCATCTAACTAATCCAGTAGAGTTAGAATTTATATGTGAATACTGAGTTTTAAAAAACCTGGGAAGCAAGTTTAAACATTCGCGTTTTGCATTTCAAGAACTGATTTCAAAAAGAAGCCACGGGTATTAAATCCTTTCTTCGCATCTGTATATTTAGAGCCTCACATGGGGGTGAGACAGAGGAAAACTGACAGTCTCTGTGTCTATCACCACACCCTGTGTCTAGAGCAATTGGGAGGCTAGCCCTTTTTTATGATAAGGAATTTGGTGGCCCATACGGTGGCAGTCCCTACATAACTTTCATTCCTTAGCGGTACTGCCCAGAGATTCTATTTTAAACATCCCAGAATAGCTGTGTTAAAGTCAAAAATAAAGTAAGATCAAAAGAGAACTTACGTTTATTTGGCATTGTTTGTGCAGGCATCCCCTTATCCACTCACAGCTAGTCTTTGAAACATTAAACGTTACTTCAACAAAGTATAACATTAACATTCCACCCTTACTTGCTTCTGACTTCTAGCACCAAAAATAGAGCCTTTTCTATGACTTAGGTACAGCATCTACCTGCATAGGAATTTGCATTTGCATGAAAAGAGCTGAAACCCAGCTTCTGAATCAGCCAGGATTTTATTATTTTACTTTTACTACAGAAACAGAGACTATCCTAATAAATCGTCCTTTCTTCTCCTAGCACACTTAAAAACCCATCTTTGAGCTCCACTGACTCCATTAGGTTTGAACTTTGGTATTAAGTACACAGGGAGGAAAAGAGTAGGTGTGGGGGTGAAGAGAAGGAGAACAGAGAGAAGCACAAAGACAGGAAGGAAGGGAGGCACCTTGATGCTACTGCTGTGGTTACCCCGTCACTCAAGAACAATCTCAAGAACAATGAAGCAAAAGCAGACTATGTAAAGAAGCAAACGTGTGTCAAAGACACCCCAGGCTTAACACGGGGCCACAAAAATCCATAGGAAATTCACATGCTATTTCCTAGAGACTCCCTCACGTGAGCTCCTTTGACATCTGTTTCTGGACTCCTTGATTTAGTTTCTGTTTTAGCATTTGCACAACAGTAATTTTACTACTAAAGGTAAATGTCTTGTAAACTAATGGGAAACATTGTTTGGCACAGTTTATAATGTCAGGATTTATGGCTCTAACACTGAGGGTCTCTCTGACCTCCAAGATAGCATAATGAAACAGCAACGTGCTGCAAATGACTCGTTGTGATTTTTTATTAGTTCTCTTAATCGTCCCTTATTAATTTGTATGCACATAATAAGCGCTCACCTTCACAGTCTGTCCGGCTTCGGGGCCATCCTAGAAGTAGGAAAAAAAACAACAGTGGTGAGAATAGATAGATGGTATCTCCTTTATTCAGAAATATCACCCATTAATAATTTAGATGCAATTTCATTGTGTGTTAATTTATAGTATTCCCATGGGGACCATCGGCTTCAAATGTGTGGGACTAGACAGTTCTCCATTTCCGCCTGAGAGTAAGTGAGAAGTTATGTATAAAAATGATATAAATTATCCAGCAAGCCAACTCCTTGCTACTTTTCATGCTCTTTGCTCTTGGCTATGGTTTTAATTGCATTAAGGGAAGGCTGAAAATGTTTGGGGAGGCGAAGTATCACACCTTTTGGTTATCTTTAGATGTGGTCTAATTAATGCCTGATTACTTTAAGCTTCTACTCAGGAAATGAGCTATAAACATAAGCCATTAAGCAAGAATATGGGGTATTTCATATGGGAAGCATCCTCTCTGGCTATTCTGACCTTGGGGAAGACAAATGTAGTGTTCACTCTAGTTGGACCCTTTTCCTAACCTGGTTCCCTCTCTCTGCTTCTGAAGCTTAGCTGAAAATGAGCAAACTCACCTAGTCATCAGCCATAATACAAAACAGAAGCAGATACTCAGCTGGCTGAGATGGCAGAACAAGCAATGGCTCCACAGTCAGAAATTCCGAAACAGAATTTGGCCTCTGCAACTTTAGCCAGGTCTGTCTACCTCTAGGAGCCTAACTAATACGGTGAGAACTCCTGCCCTGCTGTGGCAGCCATTAAGCAGAACTGTGGGTATCAGGGATTTTCAAACTTAGAGTCACAACCCCTTTGTGGGTCATTAAGTCAGCTTAATGGGTTGCAATCAGCATTACGAACAAAACAAATCAAATTTTATTTTATTTTATTTTTGAGACAGAGTCTAACTCAGTTGGCCAGGTTAGAGTGTGATGGCATGATGATGGCTCACTGCAGCCTTGACCTCCTGGACTCAAGTGATTCTTCTGCCTCAGTCTCCCAAGTAGCTGGGACTACAGGCATGCACCACCATGCCCAGCTAATTTTTGTATTTTTTGTAGGGACAGGGTTTTGCCACGTTGCCCAGGCTAATCTCAAACTCCTGAGCTCAAAGGATCCGCCAGCCTCGGCCTCCTAAAGTGCTGGGATTACAGGTATGAGCCACCACATCCAGCCAGAAATCAGATCTTAGTAGACTAAAACTATTAGACTGCACAGGAGTAAACATTGTTTTGTGAAACTCTGGTTTTCTTTATCAATATAGGTATATGCATATATTTCATATATGTGTGTCAGGGGAGATATGCATGATTGTGAAATGAATATATATCTTACTGTAGGTTATAGTTAAAAAAAAAAACAAGTTTGACCACATGGCATATATGAAAGTAATCTAGGTGATAGCACAAGTCAGCTCTTACATTTATGGAATTAACTTTGTACTGAAACATGTTTCATAACCAGCAATGACCATTTCCTATAAATGTGATTTTGTCTTGTATCTCACATTGACAGAGATTTTCATTCACTGCCTTAATTTGGTCTCTAGAGAAACACAGTTTGTAACATAAGCTTGATAAACCCACTCCGAGCTGAACTACCTGCCTAAAGGTGACTCAAATGGTATGGCACACAACACACACACATACAAGGCATTTGGGAGAAGTTGGCTACTCTTAACACAGATGTGGCAGCAAAAAAAAAAAAAAATCTATTTGAGAAGAAAATGAGCACTTTTAGTCAGAGCCTTTATAACCTGAGCACACTGGCTTTCTTTATCTGGTCGGTTTGAAGCTCTATGGTAGAGAGCTGGGGAGCGGAGTAAGAATGGCAAACATTCCCTTTAACACACAGATTGAGTACAGAGTCCTCACATTTTGATAGAGTTTCCTTTGTTTTGGGCCCGGTGGATCACAGCTGTAATCCCAGACCTTTGGCAGGCTGAGGAGGGTGGATTACAAGGTCAGGAGTTCAAGACCAGCCTGGCCAACATGGTGAAACCCCATCTCTACTAAAAATACAAAAAAAAAATTAGCTGGGCATGGTGGTGGGTGCCTGTAATTTCAGCTACTCTGGAGGCTGAGGCAGGAAAATGGTCTGAACCTGGGAGGCAGAAGTTGCAGTGAGCCAAGATCACATCACTGTACCCCAGCCTGGGCAACAGAGTGAGACTTCGTCTCAAAAAAAATAGTTTCCTTCCAAGGGGCAATTACAAAGTCATCCAATTTCAAAGCCATGAAGGACTTTTTGCATTGTTACCCCAGCCATTTCCATAGAGGTCCTGAAGGAGCTCACGGTATGTTACTATGGATTTACTCAATTATCCACTAATGACTCACTATGGACATACTTCTCCCAATCTGAGAAGTGTTGGCTCAACCTCTGCCTACAAGTCTCCAGTGACTGGGGATCTGATTTCTTTACTGGTCAGTGGGCCACACCCAACTAGTGGATCTAGCTTCTAACTAATCTGTGATTAATCTCTGTAGCGTGAATTAAAGATAGAGAAAAGGTAAGGTCCAACCTAACTGGCATATCACTGCTACCCTGGAATTAGAGCAGGGCTTGGTTCGTGCAGTGTTCAAAAATTATTTACATGGAATGAAAATGGTTTCTCCAGTCCCGGTTCCAGTAAGCAATCTGTAATGTCTGAATGTCCATTAAATCACTTATCCATTACTCCCACCTGCTTGTTAAACAAGCCTCAGACATCATCTTGGACACTATTCCACAGTCCACCTTGGGGCTCATGGATAGTAGGGCTATCCTGCATTAGTAATGTCTTTTTTGGCTGCTACATGAAATACAAATAATCACATCTGCCCTCCTGGTGAGATGTTAGGAGGAGCAAGCCCAATGCTGGGATTTGAAAAGGAAGAAAAATCACTACTGAATATTCTGTACACTCACCTGCATGGAAAGTGTGAGAGAGGTCCCGTGGAAATGTTTCTCTACCACTGTCCCAACTCTTTGGGTTGCCTGAAACAAATCGGCCACTTCATCAGGACGCAGGTCGTGGAAGCGTTCCACTGGCCGCAGCGGACACACGAGGACATCTGTAGCAAGGTCTGTTAAGGGCCATGCTGCTGGCTTTGGGTAGTGTTCTTACCAAGAAGTTTATACCCACAGGAATGAATCCCCCTGGACCAGAGCCTGAACTGTCAAAGACTAAGGAATGAAGAAACAAATATTTACCATCCGTTGAACTCCAAAGAGTTCAAAGAAAGCTTACAGACATGGTTAATTATACTTTGAAGGAGAAGCTGTGGTACACAGAAGAATTTCTCATAAGAGAAAGGGTCATTAGTGTTCAGAGACACTCAAGTGTGTGGAGAGAGAATTATGCCAGGAGGCAAGATCTATTCGATCATTATCTCCTGACCCCTATTCTAAAACTATGTCCTCTTCAGCACCCAAAAGCACTAGGTTGAAGAAGGAACTGGAATATACAGTTGGTTTCTCTAGGTAGAATATGGTGATAAATTTTTAATTTAAATTATCTCTTTAGAGAAATAAGAGAACTATGCAGTGAATTTACAAAAGTAGATGTTTATTTTATTTTTAAAAGCGTGTAGACATTCTGAAAATACATAGTCAACATTATCTATAACTAAGAGTTGTGCCATGTGGTTAAAGAATTTATGACAAGGGTTCCTCAGACTGATATTTTTTTTATAATCCAAGAAGACATTTGAAGGTAAATCATGAAGGAAAGAGGCTGTCTGGTTATGTGATATTGTGCTGACCTAGAGCCAGAACCTGAGCAACGCCATTTTATAAGATAAAGCTGTGTTTGGCTTCTGTAAATAAACCTGCTAGCTTGCTCTGAAAAATGCCCACTATGTAAAGCTGCTTAAACTTTGCTTATCAGTAACTGTTCTCTGTGGCCCTAATGTGACAAGCAAGCAGTCCTAACCCACGCCATCTTGGCTCCCCCGACTTGTAATAAGTAACTAAGGTCTGTGATTTCCACCTTACCCAGATAATGTGTAAACAGATGTTTATCTTGACTTCTGTAAACCACTTAAGTAACAAACGGAATGACAAAAGTCCCCTGGCCCTTGGAATATCAGGAGCCCTCATCTCCGCCCAGGAGGTGATTTACAGAATCCCCTGGCCCTCAGAATGTCTGAAGTCTCCTCACCCCCACTCCCAAGGTGGTTTTTCGGGTGTAAAAAGTCTTGGCACCCTCCTTTCGACGCCACAGGTTGGAGAGACGTGAGTCCTCTGTGGTCGCCGGCAATAAAGATCCTGCAATCTGGCATACTTTTGTCTTGGTGTTAATTTCTATGCTCGGTCCAGTATAACAGTTATACAAGCAAACCATTCTTAATGTATTCTACAACTTAGAAAAGGCAACATATTTACATCACTGGTCTCAGAAAACAATGCAATCTAGAGAAAAAAGGATAGAAATTTGATTATTTCTTGATAGCAAATTAATATTCACTGTTACACAATCAATAACATTTCAATTCCTATACACATATGTATGAAATGTGTGTATATATTAATATTTGTTTAGATTTTAGATACTAACAAGAGAAACAAACTCTTGTACGTTTTTTTGTTTCTTTCTTCTACTTGTTTTAAGACAGCATGCCCCTGCCTGGAGCTAAGCAGCTAAGGGGCATAATAAAACCCCTGCATAATACTGCAATTGCTGGTCTCACTAGAATATCAACCCCACTCTACTACTGGTAGAACTCAGAGCCCTAGGGGAAATACACTGAGCTCAGCTGGTGAGGGCTGATTTCCATAAGAGAAAGGGGAAAAGAAAGAGGAAACTGATTAGTTTTGCTCATAATCAGGAAATTCATGTCAATGGTAAACTAGGATAAGAAGTATTTTTTAAATCGGAGTTCATTTTTCAACACAGGAGAAGGGAGGCCTTCACCCACAGGGCATCTGATACTTAAAAAGATAATTATCTGTCTTTGGCAGGCCTGCTTTATTATCATGGGTCAATGAACCATTTAGAAATGAAGAATTTCCTTTTCATTTCCTTTGAGCAGATTTCCAGCCTCTACTCCCAGGAAGTTGCTTTTTCTGTGTTAAAAGGCACTCTTCCCCATCTTCCTCCTCCCTGCTTTAAATTACACCCTCCCTTATGCCTGACTTTACCAAACCACAGCAAGGATGACAACCATGCAAGCTTCCAGCAATATCCATAAGAGCTGTATTAGCCTACGTCCACACACAGCAGCTCCGTGAGGAAGGAAGACATTTCACCAACACGATGGCTTACTGTGAAAACTGGTGGAATGAATCAGACAGCTTTTGTATCTAACGTAAATTTAGTAATATCAATGGCATCCCAAAGTTTTTTTTTTTTTTTTAAATGCCATAAAAAAATCTTATTATTTGTCAATTTTGCTTGTTTGTGTGCTGCTCCTAGAAAAACAACTCAGAGAAAGCAAACGATTTCAGCAGATAGCTTTTGTAATTCTAATGCCACTGTTTATATGCCAATTGCTTTAAATTGGTATCACAGATGCAATATAATTTAATTTGGAGCCTCTTAGGCCTTGTTAATGGCTAAATTCCATATTATCCATAGACTATAAGGACACATCTACTTCTGGGTCCTGTTTGCTTGAGATTATCACGTCTGTTAAGATTTCTTAGACAACATGTAGGATAACTTTCAATTAAACTTACTGTGTAGAATTTAATAAATGTTTTATCCAGTACACATCGTGTGTGAAAACTTGTGACACTGGTTACCACTTCTCCCTACAATCTATAGTAGAGACCTTTTTTTAGTAATAATACTTTGTAAAGGAAGAGAAGGTCAATAGTTACAATTTAGGTTGCATAGTTGACAAGGAGATTTCTCACAGTAGATGAAAACCAAAGACAGCTTCTTAGAGCAGATGAGATTTAAACTAAACTTTAAAAATGGGGAGTGATTCAGCCAGTGGACTGGGCTGGCAACCTATTCACACATCCATCCCAACAGTGGAGTCTCCTCTTAATCTGGGGTCTGTGCTGAGACTTAGGATGCTAAGATCGCTAGGCCAGGGTAGCTGACATTGAAGAGTTCACACTCTAATGTCCCAAACCGTCATACAGTAGAAACAGATCATTACAACAGAGAGAGATGAATGCTATTGGTAGGCATCAGTACAGAATGCTGTGGGAGCACAGAGGAGGCCAGATCTAACTCTGCCTCAGGGTGACAGATAAACCTTTCCATCTTATCTTGCATTTCGCCTTTTAAAGTAGAACCATTTCTCCACATCTAGACCAAAATCTGTCCTTGAAAATGGTCTAGCAGTTTAAGGTTAACTTCAAAGAAAGTTGGTAAGCATTCTTTCTTTGGCCCAAATCACCATTTCACCTTTTTTTTAATTTTATTTTATTTTATTTTTTTTTTTGGAGACGGAGTTTCGCTCTTGTTGCCCAGGTTGGAGTGCAGTGGCGCGATCTCGGCTCACCGCAACCTCTGCCTCCTGGGTTCAAGCAATTCTCCTGCCTCAGCCTCCCAAGTAGCTGGGACTACAGGTGCGTGCCACCACGCCCAGCTAACTTTTATATTTTTAGTAGAGACGGGGTTTCACCATGTTGACCGGGATAGTCTTGATCTCCTGACCTCATGATCTGCCTGCCTCGGCCTCCCAAAGTGCTGGGATTACAGGCGTGAGCCACCGTACCTGGCCATCACTTTCATATATACTCATATTTACTCCATCTTTCCAACAAACCCACGAACTATTAATGTTATTACAATTCTCCTGTTGAAGATGAATTATAAGCAATAATTTCTTATACAAAATTAGAAACTTGCCAGGCCAGCACACTCAAAATGAGATTAAAACTAGAATTCAACCCAAGTCTGTCCAATTCTAAGGCTCATGTTATTAATGATAGTGCTGTGATATTATGCTTTTTAGAGCATTCATGGCTCCATTTCTGCCTATCCTCTTATTAAAATTGTGCCCTGAATTCCCCAGAGTTACTCTGTTCATAGAAGGGAACCACAGTTTTTATAAAATAGAAGGATACCATGCAAACATGATAAAGGCTTGAGAAACACATAACCTTGGAAAAAGAAAGCTGATGAGACCTGCAATGCCACACTGGAAGGATGCCTCCGCACTGGGCAGTGAGTATGCCTTCATCCTAACAGAGAAATGGAAGAAGATCAAAAATGAGAGGACCAGCTTGCCTGAGTTGGAAGTAGTAAAGAGAGACACAAAGTTGGCATTTTGGCCCTTCTTCATCCTGACTTGAGGTTGCTTCAAGGTGACTTGGGCCCCATGATGGGCCAGACTCCTGAGAATGTTTAGATACTGTAGCCTCTATCACTGGGTCAGGTTGTCAGACACACTGAATCTACTGCTTGTTGGACAGTCTAAATGCTGAGAATTATGGACTTCCTCACTGGTGTGGTTTGCTATTTGCAAACATAACCACAAGAATTTCTCCCATACTACACACCCTTTTGCTATGTGATTTTACCACTCTTTCCATCAAGCGTTGCAGTCTATTTCTTCTCCCCTTGAATCTGGGCTAGCCTTGAGACTTGCTCTAATCAGTGGAATATTGTGAAAGTGTTTGTCTTACTTTGTGTTTGTGTTGCTATAAAAGAATAGCTGAAGCTGGGTAATTTCTAAAGAAAAGAGGTCTACCTGGCTAACAGTTTTGAAGGCTGTCCAAGAAGGATGATGCTGGCATCTGCATTTGGTGAAGGCCTCAAGCTGCTTCCATTCATGGGAGAAGTGGAAAGGGAAACAGTCTGCAGAGATCAGATGGTGAGAAAGGAGGCAAGAGAGGTAGGAGGGAGGTGCCAGACCCTTTTCAACAACCAGCTCTTGTGGGAACTAACAGAGCAGAAGAAAACTCACTGGTTACCACAAAGGTGGCATCAAATGATTTATGAAAGATCTGCCTCCATGACCCAAACACTTTCCAACAGACCCTACCTCCAACATCAGGGATCAAATTTCAACATGAGGTTAGCAGGGTCAAATAGCCAATCTATAGCAGTGATGCTGTGCGACTTTCCAAGGTTACGCCTTAAGCAACATTGAAACTTCTGATTATTGCTCTC